ATGGTTTATCCTGCACAGCTCGTTGTGCACGCGTCATTACTGCACATGACATAGTATCAATGCTCCTCTCCAAATTGAGTGTTTGATGAGACACCGCATTGCTAGAGAAGGTCAAGATTATTCGGTGATCTGACACCTGTTATGTTACCTAATATGATGTAGTACACTGGTTGTCTCATGCAAAGCAAGTCAGTCCAGCCAATGAAATAGGGCGAGTTTAATTTGATTCTTGCGACTGAGGATACACAAACAGTTCCATCGACAAGAATAGACAACTTTTCGGCACCAGTGAGTTTTCCATCGGGAACAAGGTCAGGGTTTATGACTACTGAGCTACAGCTGCTGTCGCATAGAACTTTACATTTTATGTCATTAACCCAATCGGTCGTAGAACAAGCCAAGTTTTTACATGCCTTGCTCATTACGGGGAGTCCGTATCTGCACATCAATGTGGCGTAACCGTCATGCGTACAGCATTCACTGAGCGAGGTGAAATCAGGCAAGGTGTATATATAAGCTACAGTTTCCGTTGCACTAGTTGGACCACTTTCTCTAGATTTCGTGGCTTTCTGTGTGTTTTGCCCCATGTCACATTTAGCCTCAAAAAGGCCAGTAATTGCTGAAGCTGCCACGTTACAGCGACTTTCTCAATTTCTTTAAACTTACTGCAGCAGTTACACGCTATGTGACCCGGTTTGCTACATACAAAACATGTACGGGATGATACATCTCATGGTGTGTTGCCGTTGGTGATAGGTTTCAATGATTTGGCAAACAGCGCACTATGCATCTGCTTCTGATCTACATATAGGAACTACCTACATGTATTTGAATATTGGCCATACTGTTTGCTGTTCCTAATAAAAGGAGCAAAGCTGCTATCAGCATCCGTATACTGCTCTACAAATTGGACCATTTCCATAACATTAGCCGGTTTATGCTCTTATAGGAAAAGAGCTACATGTAAATGATCACTGCATCAATTCATGAACTGTTCCCGCAAGAGTAAATCTTTCAGACCGTCATACCTGTATGTCTTAGGTACAAATGTATTTTGGCCAGTAACCCAACGCATCAGTAGGTTATCAAGACGGACTGCAAACTGTGGCACACTTTCGTCTTTCTCAGGTTTTGCCAACCGAAATTTCTCTCTAAAGGCATGCTCATTCAGGTAGAAATGCTTGAGTAACACTTCCTGGAGTATTTTGTATTTGGCTGAACTTAGCCGAGAATACACATTGAGTACTTTGCCTTTCAGGAGAGCACTCAGATTTTTGGCCCATGAGTTGGGGTTCCATTCTTGCATGGTTGTGTACCGTTCGAAGCGTTAGAGGTGTGCATCCAAATCGTCATGTGTCTCGTTAAATACTGGTAATTTTGGAGTGCAAGGTTGTATTTTGCCTTTGGATTGAGATTGTGCACCGCCGTCTTTCGAGCCGTCAGGAGATGTAGCCAATTCTTTCTTCACGTTTTCCAACGTTAGTTGTGTTTCCAAACTTTGTTGTTCTAAGCGCTTAAGTTCCAAGTTCTCCACACATTCTTCTGTGGCACTTTGTTACAATTTTGCTTGCTCAGTTTGGACAAACGTAATAACTCTGAGGCAGAAAACCCACAACTTTCGCCAAATAAATGTAATCTCGGATCTGACCCTCCATCATGATACCAACTATAATCAACAGGAAGATAACACATATACCATTGGGGGTTTGAATTGGGTGTGATACTCTCCCACAATGCATTGGGTACTCTCTGACCAGTCTTGCACTGCAACTCAGCCCTCTGCAGTGCACGTTACCTTAGGCCACCTCTTACAAAAAGAGATAAAATTAGATCGGTGAATTAAAGAAATGTAATTCATGTGAGCTCATAACAGTAACATGTCTCATTCATTGTGATTTGCAGCATTCTCTGTTTCCTCAGTCTAGCCAAATTTATTATTAATTTTTTTAAGCTCCGGACGGGCCCCCAAAATGTCACCCAGGTCCCGCAGAAAGAGAGTTTAGTGTTGCTGCACATACTTGAAATGAAACGCAAAAGGGCTATTGGGTAACGGTTCTTCAAGAGATATTGCAGCGTAATAAAAAAATAAGACTTTTTACAGTAAATGTATACAAATAAATAAAATGAAAGGTTAGCAACTTAACTTGATGAAATCAAGGAATCGTCCATAAGACAAAGAGTGCAATTAAGCTCAAACTTAAACAGAAATGTAAACCAAA